TTATGGCTTTTGTAATATTCCATTGATCTCTTTATGCCTAGGAAGGCCAACAACTTTAAACCAATTAAGAAGCACAAGATTGAACTCTCAGTATTTAGGGATTAGTATAATTATTTGGCTGGCTCTTCACATCTACAATGAGCTAGCTGCTGTGTTGCATAGAAAATGACAATACTAGAAAAATTCACATATATACAGGTCAAATCACATTAAATCCTGACAAATATTTTTTTGTCTTCAAACTTAGGAAATATTTTTTTGGACGGCCTTCGCTAATTAAGGCCTATCCTATTAATTTCTTTGATTTTAATTTCATTTATAGATAATAAAAAAAAGGATAATATACATTTGGTAGCCACTCAAATATGTATAGTAGAGCACGTAGTATAATTTCATAAAGAGTTTTGAATAGTGCGTAAATTAAGGGTATTTTGAATTATATGGAATATGAATTCTCATCCAATTTGAGATACATAAAAAAAATTAATATTAGAGTCCATTCATGTCCACCCTTGATATATATGCATATCTCTTTAGTGTCCATCCTTGATCATGCATATTCAGTGGCGAAGAGAGTCTTTGAATAATGCGAAATTAAGCGTATTTTGAATTATATGTAATATGAATTCTCACGTACACAATTTGAGATACATAAAAAATTCAATATCAGAGTCCGTTCATGTCCACCCTTGATATTTATACATATTCCTTTCATGTCCATCCTTGATCATGCATATTCAGTGGCGGAGCAATATACACTTGACGGGTATTAATCGATATTTTTTTGCAAGAAAATTATACTATATCATATATTATATATTAATATTCCTTGACTTCGTTACCATTTAATTTTTTTAATATTTTGACATATCCTAATCAAAATTCTCAAAATGATTTTATTCCAAAAATTAAAAAGCTAAGTAATTAATTGATGATAAGTGATTGATTGATGATACATACATGTTATTTGGATTCTTCCAAAAAGAAACAAAAACTAGCTAGCTACCTTGCACTTTCCGTACTCGCAATCCTACTTTTTTTCCTTCTCTCTTTTTGTTGAATTAGCGCGATTTTTTTTTTTTCCAAAAAATTTACACATATCATTCAATTTTATATTTAAATTGTAACAAAAATTGACAAGAGAAATTATTGGGATAATAAACATTCTCCATTTCTACTCAAAAGTTGTAAGTAAGTTTGAGTCATTAGAAAAAATATTAGTTATAATATCGATAATGTTCAAAAATTTCACAAATCACTTTTATACCTATGCGCTCATGGCTAAATATTTTAAGTTGCACAAACTATCAAATTAACAACCTACAATTAAGTCTCATTAGTAGGTACTCCTCTGTTTTGATTAATTTGTTCACAATTAAAGTGAAATAATTTCTTTTCAAATATTTGTTTTTACCAAACTATTTGTTCTTTTAAAATATTATCCCATAATTTAATATGCAAAACACCCGCTAAATTGTTGGATATTTCCATACTATTTGCCTTTTCAAATTCACAGTATATATCTTTCTACTTCCCAACTCTCTCTCACTCACACAAACTCCAATGGGTTTCCACATCCCTTCTACTTCTCCGGCCAGAAAATGGCTTGGTTTCGTCGCCGCCGTCTGGGTTCAAGCCATCTCCGGTAACAATTACACTTTCTCAAACTACTCCCACGCTCTTAAATCCCTCATGTCCCTCACACAGCTCCAGCTTAACAACCTCTCCGTCGCTAAAGACGTCGGAAAAGCCTTCGGCATCTTCGCCGGCTTAGCTTCCGACCGATTACCTACTCCAGCCATTCTCCTCATTGGCTCAATAGAAGGTTTCATTGGCTATGGCGTTCAGTGGCTCGTTGTTAGTGGTCGAATTCAACCCCTCCCGTACTGGGTCATGTGTATTTTCTTGTGTATGGGTGGGAACAGTACGACTTGGATGAATACTGCCATTTTAGTTACTTGTATTCGTAATTTTAGAAAAAATAGAGGCCCTGTTTCGGGAATTTTAAAAGGGTACGTCGGTTTAAGTACAGCTATATTTACTGACATTTGCTCTGCTTTATTTGCAAATGACCCTTCATCTTTCTTACTTTTGCTTGCTGTAGTCCCTTTTGTTGTTTGTTTCACGGCGGTTTTATTTCTCCGTGAAATTCCACCTTCTTCTACCGCTGCTGAAGAGCAAGATGAAGTTAAATACTTCAGCATCATAAATGTTGTCGCAGTTTGTATAGCTGTTTATTTATTAGCATTCGACATTTCAGGCCCTCATGGCACTGTTTTTTCGAAATTATTTACTGTCATGTTACTGATTTTATTGGCGTCGCCTCTGTTCATTCCCCTGTATCTAATGATGAAGAATTTTATTCGTTCCAATTCGGGGAATCTGGACTTTGAAGGTAACAATATTGCAACTGTGCCTCTTTTGGCTGAACAAATTGTGGAGAAGGAGGAAATGGTGATGGTGCCACTGATTGGTGAAGATCACACAATATTTGAGGCAATGAGGACTGTGGATTTTTGGATATTGTTTTTCTCGTTCCTTTGTGGAGTTGGAACAGGTTTGGCAGTGATGAATAACTTGGGACAAATGGGGTTGGCTATGGGTTATGTGGATGTGTCCATTTTCGTGTCATTCACAAGCATTTGGGGATTTTTCGGGCGTATTTTTTCCGGATCTGTCTCTGAATACTTCATCAAGTACGTAAACTGATCATTCTATACAACTTTGTTTTGTTGGTACATTGAATACTGACTTTATCTGTTTGATTAGATATGGAGATTAAGAAGAAAACTTTTGATACTAATGAGAGTGCATGCCATTAACGTTCAGTGAATTTTTTTCTAGAAGATTAGAAAAAGGATTCCATAAAGAACTATGGGTAATTTGTTTCTTTAGTCACATTCGTTTACTGATGTTAGTTTCTGTGTTTGAAGGAAAGCTGCAATACCAAGGCCTGTATGGAATGCAGCTTCACAAATTCTAATGGCTGTTGGATATATCCTAATGGCCATGGCTATCCCAGGATCACTATACATAGGCTCTATTGTCGTAGGAATTTGCTATGGAGTTCGTCTTGCTGTCACTGTTCCTACTGCCTCTGAACTGTTTGGTCTCAAGTACTATGGTCTCATCTACAGTGTTCTTATCCTCAACCTTCCCCTCGGCTCATTTCTCTTCTCTGGTTTGCTTGCTGGTTTACTTTATGATGCTCAGGCAACAAAGACAGCGAGTGGTGGCAACACATGTATAGGTGCTCATTGTTACAGGCTTGTGTTCATAGTTATGGCTATAGCATGTATCGTTGGATTCGGATTAGATGTCTTGTTATCGATCAGAACCAGGAGCTTATATTCAAAGATTTACGCGAGCAGGAAATCAAAGAAGTCTGCTGTTTTATCTTAATTGGTCTGGATTCTTTGCAGTGCGAAGTCAAGTGAGAGGATGGAAGGGGGAATTTATCCAGCAGATATGATATTCTGTTGCTAGCTTGTGCAAACTGGCAAAGTTGCGGTGTTTGATTAGCTATTTGTTGTCTGCCTGCATATTGCATGAGTTAATCTCGTTTTTATGTGATCGTAGATATGTAAAAATATACTAAACATTGTTTTGTTGCCCCGTTTAAATGGAAGGCATTACAAATACCATCTCGGATGATAAAATGACTTGTTATTTCCATGAGTAAATTTTTGACTTGTTCCGTGGGCATTAGCAATGGATGTCAATGGCTCGATCATCTAATTTGAAGATATGTTTTATTTTTTTGCTAAAAATATCTTTTAAAGGTCTAAAGAGGTGACAAATTATTGTGTTTTTTTTAATACATAAAAAAAAAGGTATTTGTTTCGTCTTGTTAACCTTTTTGTTCTATTTATTTTGTCCTTTCCATTTTAAACTTTTTTGTGAAGTGGTAATGAGTTGAGAATTCTAGAAACTATGATGTAAATCGCACTAGGCAAGTTTATAGGCTCGACTCAGAAGGCATTAAGAGAGGATTGATCCCCGATCATTCGTATGGATAACCATCCGCTAAACCAACTGAGTCATCCCGAAACTTCTTTCTATTAAATGATGGATATGAATAATGTCAAGCTGTTAGTTGCCTAAAATTGTAATTAGTATGTTCTATTTAATTGCCTTAATTGGTTTAACCTATATTTTTTTATATCTTATTTATATTGGCCTAAATCGATAGTCCACTTAATTAATTAGAGTGAGTTTGAACCATACGTGCGGTTGATTGTTGTAAGTTAAGAAAGAAGTGAATGAGAGAACTATAGTCGTGGTCCTAATGAAACTACAACATATGATTAAAACATTCATTTAATAGTTGATCATGGTAAGAGAATACAATAAAATAGGTATGAAGTTGTTACATCGAATCGGCTAAGAGTCAACTATTTATACCAGCTATATATTAATTCCTTTGTTCACTTTATTTATCCAGTGTTTTTAAAAAGAAAAAAGATACATAAATATCCTCTAAACTTGGCAATATAAACATAACTTCCTTTGACACTTAAACTACACAAACAGTTAAATACCCCTTAACATCTTTCAAGTGATTTTTTTTTTCAGTCTGAGACTATAACACCACTCTCACCCGCGACATTGTAGGCACGTAAGTGTTACATCATAACCATATAGGAACCATACCATTAATTTTATTTTTTACTTATTCACTATTTTTTTCAAACACTTTTTTAAAAATAATTATATCAATTGATTAATTTATAAATGCATACCCCAACCCCTCTCTTTTTCTTCTTCCTTCACTAAAAAAAATTGAAATATTACGATGGTTCTAGTGAACGGTCAATAATATAACATGTTATGACCTTTTTAAATATGCTATATTAAATATTTTTGTTACGACGCTTTCAACCGTCACTAATATTTTCTAAATTTTAAAATTTTCCTAATAAATTTAATATTTTCTTGAAATATGAACTATTAAATAAAAATATTTATACACACAAACTTTATTTCTTTTCCTTGATTAATTGAATTTTTTTATCTTTCTTCCTTCATTAAAAAATAATTATACTTCTCTCTCTTTGTTAAACAAATTTCAAATATATATTTTCCTTTTATCTCTAAGATTTCCAAAGTGAACAAAATGAACTTAATTAGCTACCAGCTAAGATTTCAATTGGTCTGCCAAAAATATGAGCACCCAGAACTTTCAACTAATTAGCTCTCAATATACCCAAATTTCTTCGAATCTCTTCCATAATTAGCTCCCAATATTTCCCCAAATTTCTTGGTAATTAGCTCTTAATATTCCCCAGATTTCACAGTGAAGAAGATTGTTCTCTCATAAATCGCACATTGAAGGAGATATGGTAAACTCTCAAACTTCTCTCTCAAATATTGTGTGAGAAATTCTACTTTTATTGTGAATCGTGAATCAAATGTAAGCTAGTTGTCTGTTTTTCCCAATCTCAATTCATGCATGTTTGAGTTCAAGCTTTTTGTTTGGGTTTACAATCGTGAATCGATTGTAAGCTTTTTGTCTGTTTTTCTGTTCAACCCAGTTTCTGGGTTTGATAGGTTGTCGAGGCATCGAAATCTGCTGATGACGGTAAATCGTTTGATAGGTATCTCTAATCAGTGTAACATCTAATCGCTATATTGATCTAGTTGTTTTATATGATACATTGATCTAGTTTGATTGATTGATTTAGTTGTTTTCTGATCCCCTTCTTTTTTCCTTTTTTTTCTTAGTTAGGTTGGTGTTTGTAGGATCTATTTATGTGTACTTTTTGATAGTTTTCTAGTGAATGTTAATATGTTAAAGTGATTTACATTGAGTTGAATCTTCAGTTTGGCTAATTGAAATGTATATAGAATTCTCAACACACAAGGCCTTAGGCTTTTGGTCAATGACACAAGAAATTTGTGGTAGGTTCATTTCACAAGCTTGAAACATAGTTGCTGAACCAAGTATGATATCTTAGTGGATATACATAGTTGCTGAACCAAGTATGATATCTTAGTGGACATGTGTATATCAGTCAAACACATTATCCAACAGACAAAGTGACATGTTGTAAATAAGTGAAATTCAAATTATATGAGTAGTCTTTGTATAATAATGATGTAAATAAGTAAACCTTTGGCCTTGAGAGGATTTTTGATTATGCAATAACTCTCTAGTTCAACTTTGATTTTCAATTTATCTGTTATATAATGTGTTTAATGTTATAAAAGAACTTACTAAGATTAATATACTAAAAGAAAGAAAAGTGAGGAAGTAATATATTTCAAAAATGTATATATGTATTCATTTCATATAGTGGCTATTTATAGCCATGAACTAATGTATAAATGTATAACATGACCTTCTAATTGGCCAAGTGATGAAACATTACTAATGGAAAGGTTCCATTTGGCATGCATAATAGGTTTGTACACAATTACTAGTGATGCAACTATTCTAATTGTTGGGGCCCACGTGGCACTCTAAAATGTTTTACAACACTCCTCCTTGGATATCTATGCAAAAGAAAGTACATCGATATATATAATACACATTATTTGCTGCCTCATTAAAAACCTTTTTAGGAAAACCCAGTGGGACAAAACCTATACTAAGGAAAAAAGAGTACAGTGCGTATTTTACTCTCCCTGATTAAAACCACGATTTAGATGGTTAAGTTTTCACATTCCAATTTTGTGAACCATCTTCTCAATAGTTGAGGCCGGTAAAGATTTGGTAAATAAATCTGCTGGATTATCACTCTTACGAATTTGTCACACATCAATATCACCATTCTTCTGGAGATCATGTGCAAAGAACAATTTTGGTGAAATGTGTTTCGTTCTATCTCCTTTTATAAAACCTCATCTTAATTGAGCTACGCATGCAACATTGTCTTCAAAGAGCTGTGGGTATCTTGAAGTCACACTTCAAATCACATCTTTTTTTGATAAAATGTATTACTGATCTTAACCATACACATTCTCTACTTGTTTCATGAATGACTATTATCTCAGCATGATTTGAAGAAGTAGCGACAATAGACTGCTTCGTAGATCGCCATGATATAGCAGTACCTCCGTATGTGAATAGCAAGCCTGTTTGTGATCGAGCTTTATGTGGGTCAGATAAATAACCTGCATCTGCATGACCAACAAGATCTGCACTATCTTTGTTAATATAAAACAGACCCATATCACTAGTTCCTCTTTGATATCGCAATATATGTTTAACTCCATTTCAATGTCTTCGTGTAGGGGAAAAACTATATCTTGCTAACAAATTAACAGAAAATTCTATGTCAGGTCTCGTAGCATTAGCAAGATACATAAGTGCCCCAATCGCACTAAGATAAGGTACTTCTGGACCAAGAGGTTCCTCATTCTCTTCTTGAGGTCGGAATGGATCCTTACCCACTTCAAGTGATCGGACAACCATTGGAGTACTCAATGGATGTGCTTTGTCCATGTAAAATCGTTTCAAGATTTTCTCACTATAGGCAGATTGATGGATGAAGACCCCGTCTACTAAATATTCTATTTGTAGTCCAAGACAATTTTTTTTTCTTTCCAAGGTCTTTCATCTCAAATTCTTTCTTTAGATATTCAATTGCCTTTTGAACCTCTTCTGGAGTTCCAATGAGATTAATATCATCAACATAAACAGCAAGAATAACAAACTCCAATGTTGTTTTCTCAATAAATATACAAAGACAAATGACATCGTTTATAACCTTATTTTATCAAGTACTCACTGAGGCGATTATACCACATGCATCCTGATTGTTTTAAGCCATATAATGACTTTTGTAATCTGATTGAATACATTTCCCGAGATTTTGAACTATATGCTTCAGGCATTTTGAGTCCTTCTAGAACTTTCATATAAATTTCATTATCAAGTGAACCGTAAAGGTAAGCTGTAACCACATCCATTAGATGAATTTCAAGATTTTCATGTACAGCTAAACCGATGAGATATCGAAAAGTTGTTGCATCCATAACAGGTGAATGTGTTTCTTCATAGTCGACACCGGGTCGTTGAGAGAATCCTTGTGCAACAAAGCGTGCCTTGTATCTTACAATCTCATTTCTCTCATTTCTTTTTTGTACAAAGACTCATTTATATCCAATTGATTTAAAATCACTAGGCGTTTGGACTACTGGTCCAAAAACCTCACGCTTAGCAAGTGAATTTAATTCTGATTGAATTACTTATTGCCATTTTGGCCAATCACATCTTTGTCGACATTCTTCGACAGATAGAGGTTCAATATCCTCATTTCCTTTCATAACGTTAAGTGCAACATCATATGAGAAAACATTATCCCCTATGATTTTTGATCGATCTAAACTTATCCCATCAACTGTAGAACTTATTGAGAGTTCTTCATTCACTTGAGTCTCGGGTTCACTGATCTCTTCCAAAATATCAGGATTAATCAGATCTTGAATTTCTTCGTGAGATTCTTTTGTAGTGTCATTTTTTGTACTTCTTTTTCTAGGATTTTTATCTTTTGAACCCAATGGTCTACCACGCTTCAGGCCTATTTATTATTCAGAAGTATGACACTTGTAGATGGTCCTTTTGTAACGTCGATTCGGATAGACACATTTACTGCAGGAATATGTGACTTTGTTATCCTTTTTGAATCAGTAGATGCGTTTGTCATTTGATTTGATATGTTTTGCAAATAGATGATCTTCTGGACCTCTTGTTCACACACAATGGAGCGTGGATCAAAGTGAGATAATGATGAAACTTTTCATGCAATTTCACTTTTAAGTTTCTTTTTCTCTCCCCCTAATTGCGGAAAATTTGTTTCGTCAAATCGACAATCTGCAAATCTTGCAGTGAATAAATCTCTCGTCAATGGCTCAAGGTAGCGAATTATGGAGGGTGAATCAAACCCAACATATATGCCTAACCTTATTTGAGGGCCCATCTTGGTGCGCTGAGGTGGTGCTACAGGCACATGCAGCACATCCAAAAATTCGAAGATGAGCAATATTTGATTCATGGCCAAATACCAATTGTGATGGGGAGTATTTATTATAATGAGTCGGTCTGAGACAAACAAGTGATGCTGCATGTAAGATAGCATGACCCCAAAAAGTAGTAGACAACTCACTTTTCATAAATAGAGGTCTTGCTATCACTTGTAAGATGCGTATTATGTATATCTATGTACTTTCTTTTACATAGATATCTAAGGGGGAGTGTTGTAAAACATTTTGGAGTACCACGTGGGCCCCAACAATTAGAATAGTTGCATCACTAGTAATTGTGTGCAAACCTATTATGCATGCCATATGGAACCTTCCCATTAGTAATATTCATCACTTGGCCAATTAGAAGGCCAAGTTATACATTTATACATTAGTTCATGGCTATAAATAGCCACTATATGAAATGAATACATATTTAATATTTGAAATATATTACTTCCTCAATTTTTTCTTTCTTTTAGTATATTAATCTTAGTAATAATGCGTATTATGTATATCTATGTACTTTATTTTTTACATAGATATCCAAGTGGGAGTGTTGTAAAATATTTTGGAGTGTCACGTGGGCCCCAACAATTAGAATAGTTGCATCACTAGTAATTGTGTGCAAACCTATTATGCATGCCATATGGAACCTTCCCATTAGTAATAATTTCATCACTTGGCTAATTAGAAAGCCAAGTTATACATTTATATATTAGTTCATGGCTATAAATAACCACTATATGAAATGAATACATGTATACATATTTGAAATATATTACTTCCTCAATTTTCTTTTTTTTAGTATATTAATCTTAGTAAGTTCTTTTATAACACGTTATCAGACCATAAAATATCTAAATGACCCACTGGATGGGTGAATAGGTCCACAAATATCCCCATGTATTCGTTCTAAAAATTGAGGGGATTCAATGTTAATCTTCATTGGTGATGGCCTAGTAATCAATATGCCTTGGCAACAAGCAACACACGAGAACTCATTATTTGTAATAATCTTTAGGTTCTTTAATGGATGTCCATTTGAGTTTTCAATGATTCGTCTCATCATTATTCATCCAGGATGACCTATTCGGTCATGCCAAAACACAAAAGTCTTTAAGTCAGTAAATTTCTGGTTTACGATAGAGTGTGCTTCAACCATACTTAGTTTTGCATAATACAGACCAGAAGATAAAGTTGATAATTTCTCCAACATATATTTCTGGTCTGAGACAATCTTGGTAATACCAAGGTATTCAAAATTCATTTCATTTACTATCTCAACATGATATCCATTTCGGCGAATATCTTTAAAACTTAACAGGTTTCTTGGGGATTTAGAAAAGAACAATGCATCTTCTATGACAAGTTTTGTCCCCTTAGGCAGAAATATAGTAGCTCTTCCGGAGCCTTCTATTAAGTTTGAATTACCTGAAATTGTAGTAACATTTGCTTTTCTTCTAAGCAAGTAAGAGAAGTGTTTCTCATCTTTAAATATGGCGTGCGTTGTTCCACTATCAATTACACAAATATCTTCATGATTGATCATTGAGGTATCCATATACTCTTCAAGATAAAAGATATAACGAAATAAACATTATAATATTATTACTTAAAAAAAACATTACAGAACCTTTTAGTTATTTACAAGTCTAGAAAAACATATTCATACTAGTTCATACAAACGACGAAAATGAAATATATTTACATTATCACAGACCCGTCACCTATCAGGTGATCTATCTTTCCTTCGAATTCTTAAAGAAATCTGCTACATCTAGATGCATGGGTTTAACAGTATCTTCGGAGATAAAGTTGACTTCTGCTTTATTTTTCACCTCCTTCATGGAAGCTTGATATAGCTCAACCAGGTGCCTTGGCGTACGAAAGGTACATGACCAATGTTCTTTTCCTCCATTTCGATAACATTTGTTGTCTGAATTTTTCTACTGCACTACGTCATGTTTTTCATTTTTCTTTTTACACTATTGGTGTTGAACATTATTATTTAGTTCAAGACGATAATCATAATTGAAATTTCTTCCTCTTCCTCTACCACGACCACGACCACGACTGGGGCCACAAATTTCACGCCTAGATTGGTGAAAAATTGTCGTAATTACTTCAAGAAATGGCATAGAACCAGTAGGCCGACTTTCATGTTTTTTCATCAGTAAGTCATTATGTTGTTCAACAACAAGGAGATGTGAAATTAATTCGGAATATTCTTTAAATCCCATTTCTCGGTATTGGTGCTGCAGAAGCATACTCGAGGCAGGAAAAGTGGAAAATATTTTATTTAGCATATCATGGTCAGTGATATTTTCTCCACATAATTTTAATTGTGAGATAATTTTAAGCATGGAAGAGTTATGCTCACTGATAGATTTAAAATCTTGAAGTCTCAAGTAGATCCAGTCATAACGTGCCTGTGGAAGGACGACCAACTTCAGGTGGTCATATCTATCTTTTTAATTGTTCCACAACACCAGAGGATCCTTAACAGTGAGATATTTTTGTTTTATCGGAAAATCGGAAAAATATTTGTTTTAAGAGATTTTCGACCTTTTAGGGAGTCGCCACTTAATTTTTTAAGAAAATTAAGAAAAACTTGTTTTCGACAAGACTTTAAACAAGAAAAATCTTTTGAAAATTCTAAGGGGGTTCGTGAATTTCTATTAACATCTTACGAAGGTCTTGAAAGCACCCAAGACGTTCCGCTTAATTGCGGCTATCCGACAACTAACTATTTGGCTAATTCTTATTTTAGAATTTGCAAATTTTGTTTGAAGTTAAACTCCCTAAAATTTAAATTAGGCGAAGCTTACGAGTTCAAAATGTTATCGTTTTGAAATTTGGTTCAATTTTAGGTTTGATAAAACAGTATGACTTTCGACGGGGATCGGAGTTTTCCTAACTCTAAGCTAACGGCAACCAAACGAAAGCATCTAAACAATATAGTAAAAGAGGGAGAGAGAGAGAGAGAGGGAGATTGGGTCCAATTCCGGGTTCTGTCCGCCTTGACCGGAATTTGGACCCACCTGCTTTTTGGGTTTTTAACCCATTTTGTTTGGGTTTTCGACCCACTTCACCTGTCCTATTCTAAGCAATAAATACAAAAGGAGATAAATAAAACGACAAGGCTTATGCCCAAAATAAATACAACATAATGAATAAATTTGATCTTCTTAGCCGCCTTCTTCAAATTTTCTTCAATCTTTATGAAATTTGGCTTTGTACGTCTGCCTTGATGGGTTGACTCGATGAAAAGAATTTCGAGCCTTCATGCTCTTCCGAAATGCAAAGAGGAAAAGGAGTCTCAAAACGAACTCAAGAGGATGTCACACAAAAAAAAACACAATAAAAAACATTAATAAGATGAATGGCAGCATCTAAAGAGAGAAAAAAAACGCATTTAAAGATTATGATATTTACTCGATCGAATTAACCAAACCACACATAAAAGAAAACACACTCATATCGAAGCATATAAGTCTTGGGCATACAAGCAGCAAACTGGCATGATGGAAAACAAATGACAACCCATGGGTTAATACTCCCTCCCTTTACTTTCCATAACTTCACATATACCTTATGAATAAGACAATCGGCAGCAAACTTCATGCAGCAACAATAATATGGGTATGCACTTATGAAAACGGCCTAACAAAGTATCTAAATGAGCGATACCAAATAAGATATAATGACTCCCCAAACAGTGGCAAATACAATCGCGCAAACTCGAAATATTGACATCTTAGTTCATTTATTTAACCTGAGATGCAAAGGATTATTCATATCCAAAACAAACAGAAAATAAACTAAGACAAGTGAGACGACTTGAGAGCTAAATGA